GGATGGTTTCTTCTCCGTGGTTTTCTTGGTAGCTGCTTTCTTGGGTGTCTTTGCCTTTGGTTTCTTAGCCGTCGCCGACGTAGTCGCTTTCTTCGCCGCCGGTTTCTTAGGTTTTGCTGCTTTCGGCTTAACCACTTTCTTAGCGGCTGGTTTTTTGGCGGGTTTAGGTTTCTCTCCGAGCTTGAATGATCCAGCAGCTCCGGTTCCTTTCGACTGTTTCAGGGCTCCTTTCTTCACGCCGTTCCGGAGGGCGATCTTCAGGTGTGCGTTGATAGCCTTAGCGTCGGATCCCACTTTGAAGTTAGCCATGATGTATTTCAGTATTGCCTGACGGGACGAGCCTCCACGTTCCTTCAGACTTCCCACTGCAGTGGCCACCATGTCGCTGTACTTTGGATGAGCTGCCGGGGTCTTTGGCTTCTTCACTGCTTTCTTCACTGGAGTCTTCTCTGCCATCTTCGGATTCGTCTGGATGTGATTGTTCGAGAACTGCGCTAGTCAGTGCTAGGTAAGCTGTATGCCCCGCCCTTTTTTTTTTTTTTTTTTTTTAGCTTAACGTCCTTGTTCCGGTTATAACCGAGCCTAGGACACTAAGGGGGAGGGGGCTGGTAGGGCCGAGGCTTTAGGGTGTGCAATTTCGCTTTTTAGTAATCACCAAACAGGTCTAATATGGGGAGGACAGATCTGACTATATCTATACCCTAACGTCTAAAGAAAAAAAAAAAAAACAAAAAACAAAAAAACTGGGGAAATTTTGGACTGTCACAGAAACGCCTAGTCCTACTCTAGTCTCACTTTATATTTCCCTAATATAAACCTATGCTCTGTGGCGGCTAGCAGTTAGCCTTCTCTTTTTCGAAAACCAGCAGAGGTTCTTTAACGTGCACGGCGTGACTCACTGTACACCGGACCCCCGTTTAACGTCCCTTCCGAAGGACAAGAAGTTTTAGAAGATAGCGGGAGAGAGTGTATGGGAAAGTCGGAAATTGGAAAATAGGTTTAGCTTGTTAGCTGGTGTAGGTTTGTTATTTGTAGATGGGATTACTAGCCACCATTTGACAAGGTTAGTCATGCTGGTCTAGAGTGGATTTTAAAAGTGGGGAACTGTGTTATTAAGTTCAGTTATGAGAGTGGATGTGATGGGGTGATGTAAAGAATGTGCTGGAATTGGGTTAGCGTAGATTTTTGGGATTAGTGAGAATAAATGTGAATTATTATACAATCGATGTCGTTCGGGAGACTGTAGATTACTGTGTATAATCGTCTACATGTCTACCCTACTAGAGCAGGGATTTGTATATTAGAAGGTGGAAGGTAGGGTGGAAGAGATTTTGTAATGGTTGTTGGCTTTGGGTTTCGGCCCAGTGTATGTTGTATTTATGTAGGAGATGTTTTTGTGTGTGTATGTGGTGTTGTGGGTATGGTTTAAAAAAAAAGTGTGAGGTGGTGAAATTATAGTCCTGTGTCCAGTGTTGAATACACCTCCCTGTAAAGTCAATTACAGAGGGCTGTGTATCCTGGTTTCCCTACCTACCATAGGTTACTGACCACCCATTGGGGACATGTAGATTCGAATACGTCCACTGTTTATCCAGTTATAGTAAGCAGTGGTTGTACGATCTACAAGTAGTACCTATTTGTGTTTTTATTCTATACTGGACGTGGACTCATAATTGCGTATATTGCGTGTGTGTGTGTGTGTTTTTTTGATTTTTTTTTTTTTTTATATATATATATATATATAATTATATCGCTTTCCTAGATTTTATCAATATAATCAATATCCGTTAGATAGGAGGTTAATTGGTCGAATACATATTTTCTATGTTGTTTTGGAGGGTTGAGTACCGTTTTGGAATCGAATTTCATATTGTCTATATGCTCAATTTGGTTTTGGAAAACTGATCTAAAGTTGTCATGGGTGGTGCATTCGAACAGAATGTGTTCTATGGTTTCCGGTTCACCACAGTTTGGACAATATGGACTGACTTCCTTTTTAATACGGTTGATGTTATGACCGAGTTTGGTGTAGCCTAATCGAAGTCTAGTGATAACAGTATCCTCTACTTTATTATAACTATATAACTGAGGTTGGATCTTAACATTGCTCTCGATGGAATAGAGCCAGTTATTAGTTAATTTCGACCAATTTTCCTGCCTTATCAATTGAGTTTTGTCATTGATTATACTGACGACCTCTGATACACTCAAGTCTATATTTAGATGAACATCACGTGACCCTAAGGCTGCTCTAGCGAGTTGATCTGCTATCTCGTTACCTAAAATGTCGACATGAGATGGAATCCATTCGAATTTTAGATCTATTCCTAATTGATCGATCTCGGTGATCATATAATGAATTGCATTAAGCAGTTTAGGTCTACTGCTATTTCCAGTTGTCAAGGATTGTAAGGAGCTGAGGGAGTCCTTGGAAATCTTGTTTGCGGGAGATCTTGACACCTTCTAAACCATATTTCTGTTTTAATCTAAGTATTTCTGAAGGATAGGGAGCCCTGATGTTGGTAACAGGTATTTCACTATTTTGTATTGCTTTGTTTAGTAAGAACCTATCCCCATGATTTTGGGTTCTAGCCCAGTATTTTAGAGTAAGGTTTTCTCGCCTAAGTGTTAATGTTGTTTCGCCGGCCTCTGCTAGTAAACTATTGCTGTTGGTGTTTTTGATGGCCCTTAGCGCTACCCTTAAGGCTGTGTGTTGTATTACATCTAGATGTTTTAATACTGTGTCACTAGCTATATTATATACCTGGCACCCGTAATCTAACCTAGATCTAACTAAGGCCTTATATAACATTAATTGAGTTGTTTTATTGGCGCCAAATTTACAACCAGAAATATACCTCATGGTGTTAATTGCCTTTTGGCATGATTCCTTTACATATTGAATATGTTTACTCCATGTGAGTTTGTGATCGATTATCATGCCTAAATACCTAACTTGTTTTTCAAATTTTAATTTGGTCTGGCCTAGGTATAGTTCTGGTAGTGTTCTACTTCTAGAGAAATACATTGCTACAGTTTTTTGTTTAGATGGTTTAAAACCCCACTTATTGGCCCACTCATTAATTGCTGTAAGATTTATTTGGATATGTTTGGTTAGATATCTAATGTTTTTTCCTGTACTCCAGATACACCCATCATCTGCAAATTGCGCTAACTTGGTGTTGTTGTTTAGCGTATCTGACAGTGTGTTGATGTAAATATTAAAGAGTGTTGGAGAAATAACGCTGCCTTGTGCTACACCGTTGTCTAGTTCAAGTTGATCCGAAAGAGTGTTATGGATCCTAACTTGAATTTTACGGTTTTTAAGGAAACTGTTGACGAATTTGAAGATGTTACCAGTTATGCCGAATTTTTTTAGTGAGACCAGAAGTCCGTCATGCCAAATGAGATCATAAGCTTTTTCCAGATCTAAGAAGACAGCTAGAGTGTTTTGTTTGAGGTTAAAACCTTTTTTTATCTCTGAAGTGAGTCGTAGTAGTGGGTCTAATGTCGATCTACCCTTACGGAATCCGCTCTGTTCCTCGTTTATGATACCTGATCTTTCTAATGAGTGTACTAGCCTATTGTTTACCATAGTTTCCATGACCTTACACAGGTGTGAGGTTAGAGCTATGGGCCTATATGATGCAGGTTCTTGTGGATTTTTACCTGGTTTTAGTATAGGTATAACAATGGCATTTTTCCAAGATTCAGGTATTATACCTGTGTCCCATATGTGGTTGTAAAAAAGGAGTATGATGTCTGTGATGTTGTCCGGACAGTGTTTGAGTATGTTGTATGAAATATTATCATCGCCCGGGGACGTGTTTCTCTTGTTCTGTAGTGCTTGTTTGTATTCTGTGATTGTGAATGGGCAGTTGAGATCACCGGTGTTAGGGCCTGGGTCTTTGATTTCATTATCAATGGTGACTTGATTGTGAACTTTATTTAGTTTGAATTCAGGGGTCAAATTATCATTACTACTAGCCTTTTGATATTGTTTAGCTAGAGTATCTGCCTTTTCCTTATCGGTAATGTTGTTCTTACCTAGTATAGGGATTTCTGATCTACTTATTCCCTGTATAGCTTTGACCTTTGACCAAACGTTTTTCAAATTAGTTTTGTTATTTAAAGATGTACAAAACTCTTGCCAATGATTGTTTTTGGCGTTTTGAATGATATTATTGAAGTTTGTTTTGCATCTTGTGTACTCTGTTTTTAATAGTTCACTATTTTTATTTGCCCTCCATTTCCTTTCGCTATTCTTTTTGAGTTTTTTGGCTAACCTACACTCATCGTTCCACCATGGATTGTTTTTCCTCGTTTTGGGTTTGCCTGAGGTTTTAGGGATAGATGTTGACGCTATATCTAAAATAACCCTAGTTAAATTTGCATTAAAGACGTCAACATCTTGATCGAAAATTTCCTCATGTTGGATTGTTTCTGCTAAAATTTTGAATTGGTCCCAATTGGCCTTATTAAAAACCCATCGTGGTGGGTATTGAATTGTATTGACATGGGGTTTAAAATCAAACTGTGTCAAAATTGGGTAATGGTCGGAACCTAGAGTGCTATCGAGGGTGTTCCAGTAGCTACATTTACTAGCTAAGTTTGGAGATGCTAGGGTGATATCTAGATGGGATTCTATACCCCGTGCTACATCTATTCTAGTAGGGTTAGAGCCACAAGATCTTGGTCTTTGATTTCATACTCTTTGTATGCAATTCCGCATTTTATATATATTGCCAAACCTTGGTCCGTATCGTACCTAAATGGTGGATTGTAACCATTAATTTTGAAACTTTTGTGTTTAGGTTTAAGCATTGTTTCCTGAATACATAAAATATCGGGAGCATTTTCGTTCAGAAATGATTTTAATTCTGAAATTTTCGGCTTAAGGCCTCCTGCATTCCAATGCATGACAGTAAGGCCTGACTGGTCATTTAATATACCCGCGAAAGAAAATGGGTATTTATATTAAATTTATGTTGCTTGTGGCTCTAGTAAAGCTGTCGTTTGCTATTTCCAGGTCTCGGCTGATTGGCGGTGTGTTTTGCCCGTGATCTGGTGTTAGGGCGTGTCGGTGTTGTTTGTTTGTTTTTTGGTGTTGTTTTATTGTTTGTTTGTGTCCTACGTCTACCCAATCCAGTAGGAGAGCGAGGTGTGGGAGGTTTGGACAGAAACGAGTCGTCTAACTCTCCAGAACTATCCAGAAGGTGTATTGTTTGTTGTGTAGGAGTGTTTTTGGTTTGTGTGGTTGTTATTAAGGTTTGGGGTGTTGTTTGTGTTAGGAAAAGTGTAGGTGATGTTGTTGGTGTGGACTGTGTTGGTTTTGGCTGTGTTGGTGAGGTTTGTGTGGGTGTTGTTTGTGTCAGTTTATTTATGGGTGTGACTTGAGGTGCCGGGAACCCGTTTTGTTTGTTTATTAGGGCCCTGACTTTTTGTAGTGCTTGTCTGTCTGTGAGTGTTTGATCACGTGCTAACAGGACAATATTGCCGAGTAGCTCTGTGGTGACTAATACTCCGTGTTGTGTAGGTGTTATTTGTGAGTTAATGGTTGTAGTAGTGTTGGTGTGTTTGTTTGTGTTATTTTGCGGAGTGTTGTTTTGTACGACTGCCGAGTACAGTCGATTTGTTGTAGTTTTGTTGTAGGTGATTTGGGTTGTTGAGCACTGGGAATATTTTGGTTTTGTATGCTTTGTAGTAGGTTTTTGTTGTTTGCGTGGTACGTTGAATTTTGTTACTGGATATGTGATTTTGTTAAATTTGATTTCTTTAGGTAGAGTGTTTGAGTGAAATTCCAGTAGGATGGATGTAGTAGGTTGTTTGTCTTTGTTGTGCATCCTACTGGCTGTCTTGACATTGTTTATTTTGTTTAATGATGTTAATGACGTGTTGAGGGGGATCCGATAGATGACCCCCTTTGTTGTTGTGCGAGTCATTTTTTGTTTGCGTCTAGGTGGGGAGTTTGTATATGGCCGTTTAGATAGCCGTGTTGTACATGGTGTACCATCTATACATGCGATTTTCATCGCCTTTGTTATGCACATCGCTGTGGCGCAGAGAACTAATATGATACCTGATGGTAGCATCTTGACGTCCCTGACGTCACTGGTTACCCCTGTGTATTGGGATATGTCCCCGCGAACACGTCCCGCATGTAGTGGTTTTTTATCCCTAGGGGTCAGTATGATACCACCACTGACCCCCGAGCTGTCGACACCTACCTACAGGCTTAGAGTACCTTTGTTACCTATCATCAACGATATAGTGTTAGGTTACATCATTCACCAACAGTCTTTTCTATATATATATATTACATATATTCTTCTGGAATATATTGTGTAATTCCTGTGGACTTTTTTTTCTTTATGTGTTAATTCTATCGGCAGACAGAGGATTAATTAGACAACAGAGTTCCCGAGAAATCCATCAGAAGGATAAGTACTTTTCAAAATTTCTTATTAATCATTTAGTCGCTATCTCGTATTTTAGCGTCGGGAACTGATAATAAATAGTATCCTGGTCTGTATAATTTGTTATTTAGATACCTTGTTTAAGGAGTTTTATAGTGATACTATAGTTATAACTAGATTCAGCTATATATCAAATACAATAGGAAGG